CCCCCCCCCCCCCCCCCCCCCCAACACGCACACATACAGCCCCCTTATCCCCTTATAGAGTTACCAGCCTATCTCTACCCTGGTCCCCCATGGCATGTGGCTTGGCCAGCCCCAGCCCAAGCAGTACCTCAGAGGCCTTTAAACTCTTGGAGTTTTTGGCTAGAATCTCAGACCACTGGTCCCTAACCTGGAGAGGCAGTTCCAGCCATGGTCTGGCCATCCTCGCTGTCTGAAGATTCTGAGTGTCTTCAGAGGGGAGTGGCGGTGTCCTGGCCTCCAGGACAAACTTCTGGAGCCTAGGGCAGCTCCACAGGTACGTGGAGATCCTGCAGCGTGCGTCCGCCATGCCTGGCGGCTTTTAAAGTTTTTTGAAATGTTTTGATACTTTTTGATACCATTTGCTAATCACCGTTTTGTAGGTTGCCTGCCGGGGTTTTCCACCTCACCCCCTGACCCCCACCCCCTTGAGTTTGCACTAGACAGCAGATGTCCTGTACTCGGTGCCAGGATAGTGCCCGCCTCATGCGGCTTTGCTTGGATCTTGCTCTCCTCCGTGGCTGTGGTCTGATACAACTCTTGAATATTGTAAGGTCACACATGGCCAATGAATAGGACCATGACTGTCTTAGGCCCCCAACTGAGCAAGAGGGCACTGTTACCCCCAAGAGGACACCCACTCCCTTAAGACGTCCCGTACTTTCAAAGCTCCTACCTCAGCAGTGTGCACAGAGTTGAAAAGATACCTGAGGACAGATCCATAGATCACCTTTCTCATACGGGTTATTTCTCAACCCAGGGCATGGCTGGGGTCCTGATCCACTCTCATCCACCCATTCTTTTAAAGAAATCTTAGCATGAAATCCACAGAATCTGTAACAGTGAACCGTCTTGCACTTTATAGCATTGGAGGTTGTTCATTTCTTTGTGGGTTTTTTTTTTCTTTTTAACATGGGTAGAATTTTTGGCTTCTGATGATGTTTTGGGGATCTCAAGAAATTGTCTTTTGGTTGCCTTAGTTAAAAGAGTTGAGTGAATGTACAAATTTGGTGGGGGTGGGGGGAGGGCAGCAGGGAAAACCCTTTGCAGTTGAGTTCTTTGAGAAAAAGGGCTCCACCCTTTCAAAGTTCCTGGAGGCCATCTTTACAGGTTTCCTTGAGATTGAAGGACAAATAAAATCCTTTGGAATCAATCGAAGTTAATCATTACCATCAGCCTTCTGTCAAAATGAGTAAGATGTTTGACAATTAAGTAATTCATTGGGTATGTTCTGGCTACTGATGCTGTCAAAATCTGTAATCGTGTGCTTGTTTTTTAATCTGCTGCTTTTGAATTTGTAATTTTATGACACTCCAAGCTTTTCTGTGTCTTATTTCTGTATAATTCATTTCCCGCACGTTGATTTTTTTTTTTCTTTAATTCCATGCAGAGTATTCATTTCCCGAAACACATTAAAATGATTTGCCTGCTAGGGTATGGCTTATTTTATAATTGCATTCATAGTCTTGTGTGGTTATTGTAATGTTCTTTCGTCCTATTTTCTCTGCCCAAATAAAAAAGAACCCCTTGAATGTTGAGGCCAAATATAATTTGGAAATTACCAGACTGCCTTTTAGTGTTGTGGGGTGCTGGGACGTTTTG